ATAACGTGGCGCCTCCCGTATGGCTTCCGTGACCGTGATCGTGTGTCATGTAATGTACCTGTTACAAAATTAATATATGCAACGTGAGAGAATTCATGACCTGGCTAAAAAGTGTGGTTCTGTATTCAAACGCTCTCTTGTTTAATTAGTACTTGTGTTTCTCGGTTATGAGTTAATAATCATAGTTTAATAATAACCACTTTGTGTTTTTCTTTTTTTTTTTTCCATCTTGTTAAAAATCTTAGACATCAACGTACATTCACTTTTATAATAAATCGTTATTAGAAACCTATCCTCGTACTTGCTATGTATTTAATATAAATTTCATCGTGTTATCGTTATTGATCGTAATCTTCTTTTTTTTTCTTCTTCTTCTTCATTTCTTTATTTACAACGACGTACCTACGAAATCATCTCGATCCCATTTTTACGCTCAATAAATCCGCGGCGTTGTTAATTCGACGCGATAAATCTAATTAATCGATTCTCTCTTATTCTCCATTCCCTTCCTCCTCATCCTTTCTCGCTACTGCTCATTTTATCTCATCCCCTTTACCCTCTGTCACGAGAAGAGAGGAACAAGTCGTTCGCGTACGCAACGACAGTGTCACGTGTTGTGATCTCCTTCCTCGAAGACCTCTAATCTCTTGACATTGTTCCTAAACACGCACACGAGAGGATAACACAATGAAATAGCGAAAATGAACGATAAAAATCGCAGTGAAGGGAGTTCGAACGTCTTTGGATTAGAAAATCGTGAAACCTGTTCCTCGTTTTGTTCTTGGTGTATTTCTGTTCGAAACGTGCGACCTGCAACGCGTGTATGCGTGTACGTATGTACGTATGTACCTGTGTATCGGTGTGTATACACGATTAACAGCAAAGACTAATTAATCTTAACGCGCGATCTAATTAATCGTAATCGCTCGGCCCATCGACCTTACGATTATTCCTGTGTCTCTGTTACATCGGTGTCGTTAACTTTCTATTATATCGAGTATCTACATATACTTTCTACTAACGATTTAAATACCTTATGGTACGATGCTTGTCCCTGTTCGCGGTTACAAAAATAACTTTCGAGGAGCAGCGTTTCACGTGGTCGGTAGTGATGGGGGTTTATGGATGGACTATGGAGGGTGGAAGTGCTTTCGGAGCGGATTGGTCGAAACGAAAAAAAGAAAATAAATGAAGGAAAGAAAAATAAAAATAAATTGCAGTGAGTGACCTTGTCTATTTTCTATCGATAGTTCGAGTCTATATTATTGTTATACTGTATTCACCTATCGTCCGTAAGAATGAGTACCATTCACATTGGATCTATGTAACTTTGCTGCATTGCTATTGCATTTATGTTTAATCGATTACGGGCTTTCACGCTGGCTCTGATTAATTCGCTAACGAGTCGATCGATTATTCCGCCGCCCGGAGCAGTTCTATCGATACATCCACGATTCGAGATGTGCAACTGTTACATGGATCGTTGATCGCGATCGTGCAGATCGAAACATAAACGCATTCTACATTTGCGTCCCTTTACGAATGTACGTATGTATTGTAATATCCTCTGAGACCCGCAAAGCGAACTTGTACGAGAAACATTTTGTACAATCGTGTGTTAATTACTTCTACCATGTGAGAGGGGTAACGAACCGTATATCTAGAGGATATCGTGACACTATAATAGACGACTGATCTACGTTGAGGCGCGTCGAACGCTTTTCTTTACAATGGTGCAGGTGATTGTCTTTGGGTTTCGATTTGCGGGTTGATCAGCGGCTCACAAACAATTCCACGTGTATACATATGCGTGTGTCTGTGTGAACGAAAACGACTAGAGAGAAACTAAAAGAAACTTCTTCGTAGTAGCTATAATAACGGAAACGGAAATATGATCATGTGAATCTATATGCTAAGAATCGTGGAACGGATATCGTAGCGAACTGCTTCCTCGTCATTCGATCGCTCGTACGTGTACGAAATTGCTATTGCGGTTAACACATGGGTAAAAAGTACAAACTGTAGACAGACGAACGGACAGACAGACAAACAGACGTGGATCGGAGGCATGTAATACTTAGGCTTACAATACTGTAATGGATAACATTATACACGCATTTAATTTTCGCCGTTTCCCTCAACATTCCCGGCTGATCGTGGTCATTGATTTTCATTTAATTGTCGCGTATAATTAAGGACGATGAACCATCAATGAACGATGAAAACGAGTCGGTCAATCGAGCAGCCATCAGAATACATTTCTTCTCTTTATTATCTACGATTCGGAATTGGGGGTCTCTTTTTCTCTCTCTCTCTCTCTCTCTCTCTCTTTCTCTTTCGTTGTTGTTTCTTCCCTTCGCATTCTCCAACGTTTCTCAGACATCGTACGTGCGTTTCCACGCATGAGGAAACAATTATGCGCAGCTATTTAAGCTCCGTTCACACCAGCATTCATGGATCCATTTTTGAGACCAGGTCCATAATTACATTCGCTGTGCTTTTTCGTATCGCTGATACAGGTTCAGTAGAAACGATTCGTCGATTACGATTAACAACGAATCGTCAATTACGATCGCCGAACTGGATGCGTCGACGTCAAAAAATGTATTATTATCGGTGCATGTGTGCCACGAAACGACAACTTTGCATTTCGGAAGATGAAATACGCGCGTAAACGCGAGTCTGCGCACACTCGCAGTGAAGCAGCGCCATCGTGGTCGTATAACCAAAACTATATTTGGCGGGAACGCGATTTCTTGCTTGCAAATTACGCTTGAACGACAACGATGCGCGAGATGCGCGAGATGCGCGCGCATCGTGTGATATATGGACGACGCAATTTATTTCGCGCGATTAAATCCGAGACGCATGCTTGACGTTTGTTGCGTGACTATGGCAGTATTGTGTGTTCGATAGAAATGTGGATCCCTGATTGCGATCGAGCGAAACCTCGGCTTAAGGTTACGTGGAGGATACGCGTACAATATATACGTTAGCGAGCGTTCGTCACGAGAATTGTGTCTGCGATCGCAGCGTGAACAGAGCTTGAACGTTTGCGAAGGGAGCGTTGATATCGGTATGTACGCGACAGATCAGAGCGGGATCGCGTATAACGATCGTGACCACTGTGCATGTATACATGTAATCCCGTACGTTTTACAAATAAATGCGATCTGCATGCGCGTACGTTCGTCAGTACGCGTATGAAAACGAAGTCTGCGTGGCGGTGTACAATAAATAGAGTTTTTTTTTTTTTTTTTTTTTTTTTTTTTTTATCATTACCCCGCCGAATACGCAATTTATTCGCTATTAAATTTGATATTTTTACTAGTAAATATAGAATATCGAGTGTGATTATTCGTAGCGTAATGATAGCGGATAATAAATATAATACAGATCTATAGATAAAGTTCGGTATGGTACAACTATGATACAAAAATTTTATTTCTCGTCTCTCGCTCCGCGATCAGTCTCTCTCTTTCATGCATTATCATACTTACGTTCGTTCTTCCGCTATTCTTTCTCTTTTTTCTTTTTTTTTTTTTTTTTTTTTTTTTTTTTTTTTTTTTTCTTTAATTCAACGAACTCGATCGAAGCGAGGAATTTCGGATTTCTTCGTCGACGATACTTCGCGTGTTCGTGAAAGTGTCACGGTTGCGAGAACCGCGGCCGGAACTTACACAAGTTTGTCGCACCTTATACAGTTTTGTGACACTCGATTATCCAATGAGCGATCCTTGTGTTTATAGATGATCACACGCGTCTCGCAACACACGTACACACGTCATACACTGTCACACTCGAGCATTTCCATTCACACTGTATCGCACTCTTCCGTGTGTCATATATAAGATTTTACCTAGTATACGGCACTCTCTTAAATTCCTCTGCCCCAAAGACGAGGCAAGAGCCACTTGTACATATTCATTAGGAATTTATTTACACGCGTGCTAATTATCCTGCTCGCGACACCTAGCACGACACGAACGGTCCTCCGCCATGACAGTGCCCTTCGACAGATTTCGATTCAACTATCGGCGCGACGATCGCGACCAATCAGAACGCATCGTTTGATTCGATTGTCGCAACGAGTCGCGACCAATCAGAACACGTCATTTGATTCGATTATCGCAACCAGTCACGACCGATGTACGGTCTGAACTTCGGTGTACTAAGAAACGTATTGCGCGGACGTGATACTGAGAATGTTACGAAGAAAACGAGTGATAAGTAATACGTATACTAAAATGGCAAGTTCGTTTAAATTATACTACTCAGTACGTAATTGGTACTCCATACGAGCTTCCAAGCCAACGCGATTGGTCGACTTTTCGATTACGATCTCGTGTAAGTGACCGGGTAGTGAGTGACAAAGGACCATTCGCCGATTAACGTTCCCGCCAGTCGCGCGATATAATCGAAGCTCTCGCGTGCGAGGTTATGGTGTCTCAAGGAAAGAATTTTCCCGCTCGTCCGACGAAGGTATGTATTACGTTGGCAATATATCTCGCTCGAGGATAGTTAGCACGCTGTCCACGACTTCGTACTCTTTCTTCGTATTTCGAATAAATACCTAGAATTAGCGTAATGATAAGAAGGACAACCAATACGACTACCATTTATAGTAGTGATAATAGTGGGCATACTATAATAGTGTCTAGTAGTAGCGTTTCTCCTCGTTTCGTCTTTCTCCGTCTTTGTTAATCTTACTACCTACGTCTTCGCTCTTCGTTTTCGAATAGTTTCAAATATGGCGTTGCTGCTCGTGTGTCGTGCGTGTCTCTTCTCTTGACATTTATGTTTATTTTTTCTTTTCTTTTTTTTCTTCTGCCAACTCTTCCATCTTCTTAACCGCATTCTCTTTTATTTTCGTTAAATTTTCCTTTTTTTAGTTTTTTCTTTTTTACTGTTGTTTTTCATTTTTGTCTTTCTTCCATCCCGATTAAATTTTCTCGTTCTCTTTCTCTCTCGAGGCAGTCCGACCATAAATCGTGCGCGTTTTATTTTTCACGATCGAGGGGCGGCCGCGCGGACGCGCGGGCACACGCGTGCCTCAAGAAATTAATTAAACGTAGGATAATCACAGAAAAAGGGGTTTCGACGTATGGGATATACGTTCTCGTCGGTAGTGTTGTCGCTTCACCGCAATAACTGCGGCAGGATCGCGCTGATCAACAAGCTTCCCATCAGCACCACCAGCAGCTGGCTGAATCGATCTTGAACACGGCTAGAACTCGCCCCGTTGTAGGTTAATTCTTCGTTCTTCACTACTTCGTTCGGGTGGTTCGAATATTCCTCTGTAGACACAAAAAGTAATCGTTATTTGCGGACGATGATTATTAAACTCGTTAGACGTTAAGCTACGGCAGGAAGAATTTAACGGTACCTTAATTGACTAGCGTGAGCAGGTAAATGGAAATTTCGTTGCATCGAATAACGTAAGCGCGAGTACTTTTGGCATAATTTCGAAGATGGTATCGCATAATCGACGATTCCAGGATTCTACTAATTTTCTATTCGCAATCAGCGATGCTTCAGGCTGCCACGAATGGCTCGATTTAGCGATTAACTTCGTTTCGCGTTATTTTTCCCATAAATAATCGAGTTATTTTTAATCCCCAGGGAAGAGGTCAAGAACATCTTCAAATTTCTCGGAATCGGAACGGAAGTGCCGGGAATCGGTGGAAAAAGTTGCTTCATTAGGAGAGAGTCAGCGAGAGCGGCGATATCGGAGCGGAAGCTTCAACTTGCATCTAGGTTCCGGCTTATAGGTGAGTACTATACCATGAACTTTTGTTTCTGTTTAAAACGATACACGTTGTAACAGAGCGCATCGCGGGTCACGAATATCGTTATAAATTTCACTGGACAGGGGTCTTTCTTTTCCCTCTTTTTTATTTCGTTCATTTTAATGCAATCGAGGAGTTCGAATCGTTGCTACAAAAGAAGGCGTGAACACGTCGGGAACACGAATTCCCCGCTGCGTTTCGGAGCAAGCAGGTCGCCTCGTTAATGACCGTGTTCTTGGCTATCGATGAAATGCAAATGCGTGCACACCCGCGACGCATTTTGAAGTCGAATTATCGTAGGTGAGAACATAAGAAGAGCGAGCATCGTGAACGACAGATGGTCGTCGAGAGAGTCGGTCGAATAGAATCCTCCACCGCGTTCGATTGTTCTCCATCTGGCACGCGTTACGGGGTCCGAAGGTGTCCCTTGATCCATTAAGCGTTTTCTATTTGAAACTCTTTAAATAATGCCTGCCATTCGTCGCGATAATCGATCCGTTAAATAACCCCTTTCCCTTGTTCGAAAATGGGCGTGAATATGGGGCGTATGCCCTAACCGTGAAAAAAGGAACGCACTTTAGCGGTCGCACACGGGGTTCGTCGTTTAAAAAATTTCACGCGCGGCCAGTCAATACGATGTTCGACGATCGCCCTTTCCTGTATAATTTAAACGAAAGAACGGGCATAATAAGTAGAACAAGGCACGACGAGGGACAATATAATTTTAAACCTCATTAAAATTTATTTGCTCGTTATTTACTTTATCCGACTTAATACGACCGAACGATAAGCCGAATGAATTACGTAAAATGATTGTTTGGCACGCAATGGACCGTCACGTTCAGCTACATAACGGTAATTTAATGACCCGAGAGTCGACGACGCTTCTTCTCGACTTTGCATTCGCGTCTAACCATCGCGAACGGACGATGGGAAAGCGCGATTCCGGCACGACTATGGCCCCGCGTTTCGTTCCCTCGAAACGGAGAAATATCAATTACGTCGTGCTAATAACGAACCACGATATAACGCGGTAATTCCGTGATCCTGTAAAAAAAGATTTCTGCAATGAAAACGAGCAATAAAGCGATCGGGGACGAATGGTTCATCTTCATTTTGCTGAACGGTAATTCCGATACAAAGTGATAATTATCGACTGGACGGAGAGGAATTAACGATTAAAGACACGTTTCCAGTGTGACGCGAAATAGTAGCCCGTGGTCGTGATCGTCGTCGTGATCGGCGAGGAACACAACATTCCCGCGGGACATACCGACGAGGATGGTATCTATTATTTACATCGGTCACTCGACACTGACCCGAATCTCTCATCGCTCGGTTCGATAATTAAACTCGACCAACTCGACAACGATGCTCGGAGATATATTATAGACGATCTAATTCGCGTCGATTAATAAAAGGACCCTCCTCTACCACGATTAATTTCGACAAGACGCGACGACGAGAGAAATTTCGCGTAAGAAAGCAAAAGGAAGGGCAAAGCGAAGGAACGGAGGGGTGAAGGAAGAGGGAGAAGGAGTATGAGAAAAAAAAATGCAAGAATCATTGGCCGAGATAATGGTCGCGAGGAGCATCGAGAAACTCGTTTCGCGGCAAAGAGAGCAGGTGGCAAGAGGCGGTGGGGAGCTGTGTTATACGTACTGTTGTTCTTCTTCTGGCCGATCGAGGTCTTGGGCGGCGAGGAGGACGGCGGTCCATTGTGAATCGGAGGCTGATGCGGATGCACGGGGTAGATGGCCGGAGGGGGCGCGTTGGGCAGGGTCGGCGCCGCCGTGCCCGGTGGATGATGATCGTGATGATGATGAATGCCTGGGTAGAATCGATCTCCGCCCTTGAAGACGCTTGGTGGTGGCAGGGGTGGCAGTCCAGGGGCTCCTCCGCTCAAAACTGCGGTGCTGGTCGAGCTGCTGCTCGGCACGGTGCTGCTGGTCACGGCTACGGCTGCAAACGACATAGATCGACATTAGCATTTTCTCTCTATCGTACATTCTTATTACAATGTCATGTTGGCGAACGTCGACGAGGACGAGGACGAGAACGAGGGCGAGGACGAAGAGGGCTTTTCATGCCGCGTTCGTTGCATCGTGGCCGGAGGTATACTTTGTTGCGGCTATTGAATTTTAGCGTGTAATCTCGCGGCGATTTTTTTCTCCTGGTCCACGAGTTGCGTGCAATTTCCAGCCAGTCTCGATTACTGTTGTTACGCGCGCCCGCGCAACATCGTCGTTCACCGGCGTTTCCAGCCGGCTGATTTAGGATAACGTCGCATCGACGAGCATTTCGATTTTAACTCCGGCATCGCGGGCCAAATCGCGGCACCGGTTTTGCGTAATTTTCAGCGGCGAGAGAATCACGGAGGACGCAACCGCGCCGTCGATTGGTCGTAAACGGGACGAGTGTGTCCGGTGAATCGCCATCGATTTCAATTACCTATGTACAGCGCGAGCGCGTGTGCTTCGGCTCGATATTTTAAAGCGACCGGAGGGTGGTGAGACGGCAGGCGGAGGGGCAGGGGGCCCGAATCGAAATACAGACGCGGTTATGATTGCGTCCGTTAAATTTTATTTAATCGCCTGGCCGATCATTCGGCGATGCCGATCGTACGTAATAATAGAATCGCGCGTAAACCGTTACAGTTATAACCGTAAATGCGGCGTCGTAAAAATTTCATACGAGCGGTGCTCGCGACGTGAAAAACGGTGGGAACGTGAATTCTTGTTTCTGCCAGCGACGTCGATTTAAAGCGTTTATAAAAAGTGGATCCCGTTTTTGGACGCGACGTTCGCAACCGAAATCGATCCCCGACGGCCCAATTTGCGCCACTGGAGGTCGAAGTTCGTATCCTCGAATCGGGGTGCGATCGATCGATCGATCTCGACGATACGTGACACCGCGCGGAGAAAAAGGGATAAGAAACGACAAGCATTCCGTGTTCCCGGTGGAAACTCGCGGGGAGAAAAACGACTGGCGGGGAATGAACTTTCCGACGGTGGAATAAAGTCGAAGATTAATTTCGCATTTTCGCCGGCTAATTGCCAACGTAAAACGTCTTTCGCCGCGGTAGCGCTCACGGCGCAAAGAAGGAGCCCGTTTGAAATTTTCCGCGAGATTAACATTTCTCGCGGTTCGTGGCCGTTGATAGTAATCGTAGAGCATCGTACACGAGCGTGCCGCTCACGCTCTGATCCCGCGCAGCGCAACGATGGAGCCGCGGAAGGATTTCGTGGGAAAGAGAGAAAGGGAGTTCAGAGTTCTCGGCCGGCGAAATAGCTAGTCATTACGGCGCATGAATCGTCTCCGACGAGTGTTGGGCCGGTGGCAGCGGGCAGAGAAGAAGGTGGAGGAGGTGTCGGGAGGACGGTCGGAACGAATTAGGGAGAGAAGAGACCGGGCTAGAATGAAATAGTGGAATTTATTGTGTTCTGGGTCAGCGTTGGTCCTCTAACCGCAACAAATGGTGCACGAGTAAGAATTATAATTGATAGGGATTATTCGAGAGGGGAGGAGCAGAGAGCGAGGCCGCCGCCGCCGGTGCGAGAGCCGATGTTTCTGGGGGTCGGAGGGGTCCAAGAGGGTGGGGAACGTGTTCGCAGCGGAAGACGAAGGAATCGGCGTAGACCGTCTGTCGTTACGAGAGTCTTTCCCTTTCGTAACTGATTAGGGGATAATGAATTTATGACGCGGCCCTTCTTCGATTCGTTTCATCCCCACCCTATTGTGCGTGGACGAAGGGAGCTCGTGCACTGACGCGATACCGTGAAGATTTTAAACGTGATTTACACGCGAAATGAAAAGGCGGCGCAGACGACGTAGACAACGACTATAATTTCAGATTATGATAATCGGGCCCATTAGAATACTGGCCGTACACGCGAAATGACTCCTCGCGGTAGAACGAAGGTTTTTGTCAGTCGCCACGACTTAGGGATGGGTCTCCTTCGCGAAACGTTTGAAAACGGTTGTAAATGGGTCTCGAGTACGAGAGCACTTCCTGCGACTCGAACGCCCTCCGACTACTCTCTTTCTTCCGTTCTTTCTTTCCTCCTTTCTTCGTTACGCGCATCGAGTAGCCATCGTAACCGGAGATTTTACGTTAACACGGCCTCTACCGCGACTCTTGCCTCTTGAACCAACGTAATCAGCGTTCGTACCGAAACGACGAATACTTACAGTTGTTGCGCGATGTTGCTGATGACGACGAGGTGTCTGCCTCGTTGCCGCAGCACACCTTGAAGACCACCTTCATGTTGTTGTCGTGGCATCGGCCACCGATGCGTTTGTGGAGGTCCTCCTTGGACGAGGTGCTGATGAAATAGTAATCGTGACCTGGCAGGAACTCTAGCCCTCCAGGTTGCGGTGTGAACGGCCTGAAGGTGATCGTGAAGTACATGGTCTTATACGGTTTGTCGCAGACCGCTATCACCCGCGGGTTCGGATTCGTTATCCGACATGTTTCGTACTCCTCCTTGGACACCTGTGAAACGTACGATGGCTGTAAGCTTCCGACGCGAATCGATTGGCGACGCTACTTGTCTGTCAAGTACGAGTTCTCTCTCCTTCCACGATTTCTTCGGTAGTTTCGTCGAGTCTACATAAACAGCGATTCTTTACAGATACTAATGATCGGCTGACTACCCCGAGAGATATTTCCCGTCCGTCGTATAGACGTATAGACGCGAAAAGAGCTGATATTTTTTTTTTTTTCCTCTCCTCGACTAGTTCGTCCCCCGAGACACGGTTGAGAGGGAGAAAGTATCTATTGTTGGGTCCGAAAGCTATCGAGACAATGCGAGGAGGGAAGGATATCGAGACGGTGATTAGATCTCGGCGATGATTCGTGGTGCTTGCGTGGCTGCTTTGGTAAACGACGCTGGGAGTCCTCGATAACAGCGAGAGAAGAGGGGACGAAAGAAGTTTTCACGATGCCAGCAACAATCTGATTTATGAAACGCGGTGATTTTCGTCCCACGAACAAATATCGTTACGGTACCGTACCGGTTTCTCTAATTTCGGAATGCCGGCGATACTTCGCGGTGAATATTTTTAAGAGCGGGCGAAATAGCGTTCGAACAGCCCCTGGAGGGTGCAACGCGGTGTCAAAAGTTGGCTACGAAGCGGAAGTCGTTCTTGGGGGTCCGATACGAACGAGTTAACGAACGAGTTTCGAGTAGCAGCAGCTGTCTAAACAACACGGAACACCCTTTGACAATTTTTTATTTCGCATAATGGGTCGACAGTCGTGTAACTCGATTTATCTGTTGATCCCGCTATGGCGAGGCAGGGAATACGCCCGGGCTGCTCGTGACGATCTTTTTACCGACGTCGAGTCGTAGGATTCTTTGCATTACGATTCGACACGAAGCGTGCACTTACGTTGTAAATAATATACTTCTCCGCGTCCTCGTCATACGTCCCTGGCTGGTACACAGGACATATTATGTTCACTTGGTCGTACTCGAACGCCGCGTTGTTCTTGTTCACGTCTATTATGTGGTCTGTGTTGTCTATTCGGAATCTGCAACAGAAAACATTAATCGTCAGTACAGCCGATACGGGGTACGACTGGGAACTCGTGGACGAAACACGAGCTTCGGCATGTATTAAGAGCTAAAACGTATACGAGTCTAAATAGGCCCAGACATTCACGGGGTACTCGTGGCGGAGTCTGGTGAGGAAGATTGAACGAAGTTTTAACAATAGTCAAGAGAATCATTTATATTTCCGACGCCTCCGTCTCCGCGGCGTTCGAAACTCATCGAGTAAAAAATTAATCGTCAGATATCATCAACGCGATTAAATATATTAACAGTCACGTTTCACTCAGCGGTGTTTCTTTCGCTGCGGGATATCCCATCGTCTGCGAACCGGGCACAATAGGTTCCAGAGTTTCCGCGTATCGGAAACGGGGCTATCCGTGAAGCGTTCGCGAAATTCCAACGCCCCTGGAGGGTCCTCGGGAGGAGTACACGGTTCCTCCGGGTCCGTCGGTAGCCAGGTCAGGAAAGGGAGAAAAAGAAACGACGCGGACTCGCCCTCGTAGGCACCCAATGTCAGATAGGCAGGCGCCCATGGTGTCGGGACCCCACGTAAGTGTACATACAGCCTCTACACGTATGTACACACGAGTGTACGCACACGAACGGGGTTGTATATATAGGCTCGCTTGTATTATGTAGCGGAGCTTGCTGGATACTTGGCGAGGATGGAACGAAAGGTCTGCGAATGAGTAGAAAGGAAGGTAAAGAAGAAGAAGAAGAAGAAGAAGACGACGAGGTAGAAGGACGAGAAGAAGAAGTAGACGAAGGAGGAGAAGAAGAAGAAGTAGAAGTCGAAGAAGGTGGAGGACGGTTCCTATATAACCGGTTCTTTCCAACAGCGCTCACACACGCCGATACACACGTCTCTCCTACTCCACGCTGCACGACGTACAGTAAAGTTTGCCGCTGTTCACACCGCCCTATTTCGGGTCTACGAATCGTCGCGCGAACTATTTTCTTGCTTCTCGCGGACGCTCCACTTGTTCCGTCCCGTATTTATTTTCCTTGCTGCGGCCACGCTGTACGTACGCCTCGTACGCGGCCACGAGTATATTTGTTCTGTGTTACATAAATTAGGCGCGGGCGTGTGTGATGCGCGCGTTCACGCGGGAATGTTAAGGCACAGCTGAAATACGGTTTCCCTGTTTTCTCAGCGGCCAATCGCGACACGTCGTTCCTTTTCGCAACGTTTCGTTTAATTTTATCGCGATGCCCTTCGTCATACGAGTGCCCTCGCTCCGTTCATATCGGATCGCCGCTGCGTTATCGAGAGGCATGTGCATACGCGTTATCGTTATCGATGCCAAACTTGCGTGCAATCTCTTCCTCGTCCGCGATATATGCACCCTCCTTTCCACGACTCTCGAAATACGTGTAAAACTTCGATTTCGAGTCTCCTTCGCGCGAACTTATCCTCTAGAGCATCGTGGTGTACACACTTGGTACTCTAGCATCGGAAGAATCCGACTCGAAGACACGTAGTAGGTTACCCCGTCTGGAACATCTAGAAGTTTGCGACACCTGCAGACCTACTACCCTTTGGGTGCAAGACCTAGCTCTCTAATGGACTCTATTTACCCTGGCGAGTATGCACACGGTACACTCGTAACGCACACGTGTCCCGTCCGTAGCGGCTGGAGGCTCCGGAACGAGGCTCGTCCACGATGTACCCGTCAGCCAGGGAAGGGAAGCCCGTGAAGCTCTCCGTGGCGGTAAAACGCGGGCGTCGAAAACGCGTCCCGACGTTTCGGAGCATTAACGGACAATCTCGTAAGTGGGCGTGTAAGGGCTCGAAAATTGGAAGGTAGGCCGGGCCTCGACCAAATTAACGTTTGGCGATAATATCCGCTCTCTCTCGGTGCCCCCATGTCGGTTCGTCGGCTCGGTACCCACCCTAAGCGCGCAAGCAACGCCAACAACCTCCGGGGCCGAGGCACGCGCACACAACCATGGCGAAGCCCATAGAAAGAAGAAGAGAGACCGTTGCACGATCGTCCGGTGTGTGCGTTACGCGTGGGTGTATAGGACATTTCAGTCGCTGGCTGGCCATTCACGAATTTATTAGACACCGTATACGTACGATCGTGGCCCGAATTACTCGCGATAAAAGCACGGCGTGGCTCCTTTTGGTACTTTGGACCGGGCAGCTCGGTTTCCTCGCGGAGGTTGATGTACCATGGCCGTCATGTTCCCCGGTCGTCGACGCGTTAATGGCCGCGATGCGCGGTGAATTGTGATGTATAAATTTGCCGGAGCATTCGTTTTGAAGGGAAAAAAGAGATTCGCTTTGTGCCTACCTGGCCTCTTTTTTTCGCGTTCCTCTGTTCCGGTGAACGGGCGGCGATAAGGGGAACACGGTGGGAAGACGGTCGGAGAGAAATTTGAATAAGCGAGATCTCTGAAATCCCGTGACGGTAATTTGTTCGCGTATCTCCTTCGTCGCCGGTGATTGTGTAATTCCGTAAAACATTATTTTCCTCTTTCTTCTTTTTCTCCGCGCCAACGTTGATTTCAAATTTTTCACCGTTTCCTCTTTTTCCATTTTGTTTTTTTTCTTTTTTGCATCCTCGGCATGATAATCAGATGCAAATTCGAACGACTCCATACGCGGTCGCCATTCGGTTGCTCGTTCGAAACTGCGAGATATCGATAGTCCGCGTTCAGTGATCCTACGAGCAGGCCAAGTCCTATGGGAACGATTAACGAACTTTGTTCCCGTAAAAACTTGTTGCCACGTTGCGGACAATGTACGTCGATTACCACGAGCGACGCAACACGCGTCGCACTCTCGTCTATTTGTTATTTTAATCCCGGCACGAATTATATCCGATGAAAGGCTGTTATTGCATGTTACGGTACTTAGAACGCGATCCTTTTAAACTCGAGGACGAAGGTTTTGCTACTCTTGCTGGTACATGGAGCATAAAGGCCGTCTTGTATTATGATCGCCGACGTGTTATTGGTAGCCTCGATGTGTGATTTAAAGGTTTCCCCGGCGGGAATGGTGTCATTTGCATATACCTACGTATTCGTAGGATCACCGAGGACCCTCGTATTAATGCGATACGTTGCTTTGGTTCTTAACAGTTCTCTTCTGGCCTTAGGTAAATATTCGTCATGAATATGTATGGCTAGCATCTTCGGAGTGACCCCTTCCAACCTAAAAACCTGTATGTCTGCGAATATCTCGCTCGCTCGAACACGCGTGCCTTCTCTGTACGCCTAGGTATCGATACCGATGATAAGCCTGTTTAATCGTTTAATCGTTTAATCGATATCGAGTTGCCATCCATGTTCGTACCCGCAAATTCTTTTTCCTTTTCTCGAATGTCAACCCTGATACTCTCGTTACCCGCGATGATGGATAATAAAATCCCACGTGCGTGCATACGTAGCGTATCACTCTTACTCGCGACCCAAGTTTCTGTGTCAGAGCCCGAGGCTCTGCTCCGATCATCGATTCGCACCGTTCACTCGTAATTTCCGCGCCGATCGTATAATACGCGTATCGCGGATCTGTTATTGCCGGTCTAGTCGATCGTGTCGGCGGTGCTAATTGCACTGCCGACTAAATGCCTGTAAAATCCGCGAGCGTCGGCGAAATTATCCAAGGGCCAATAACTGTTCGGCGTATCCTACCCCTAACCGTCTTCATTAATTCCCACTACTGTCCGGTCGACACCAATCAACTACCAAATAAAACGTGCACAAGGGTCCCGCCTAATTGGAACAGCGAAAAAGTGGGCGTGTTCCGATCGAGGACCTCCATCGTTTCGGGACCCCTGGAAATTCCCGTCGATCGTTTGCCCAGACCAATTTTATACGTCACCCTTTCCTTTGCCTACTCCGTGTCCGGATCGTCGTCCGGATCGACGCACGGTTCATCGGTCGACGAACATCGCGTGTCCAACCCTTTTTCTTTCCCCACCCCCTCGGGCCCTTCACCGATCGTGGATCTAAGCACCGTCGTCACCTATCTCCTCTCCGCCTCTCGCGATCGATCGCGTAGAAAAAGAAAATTAGCCACGATGTTGAAAAGTTATTGCAACGACGTGAATTATGCGAGATTCTTATCGACGTAATTACCGGCCGTTCCTCGGGGTACAAGCGGCATCAAAGAATCCCGGAACGGGGACGCGGGGTGGCGGCAGATCGGCAACGGAAACCGCGTAGATTCGCGTCAGCGTGTAAACGACACGCTGTTCTCGCGAACGAATCCTTTAATCGTCGATCCTTGACCCGGCGTTTCGCCGCGTTATGGGAGATCCACGCGTGCACGGCGTTCACCCCGCGAAGCGAACGCCAACGAAGAAACGTTTCAAACCGCTCAAACGTCGTGCGGAGAAGACGGGACAAAGGGTCGGTGAGAAACGCGGAGGAAACCGTACCCACGTGTGGTAGAATGTCTGTAAAGAGGAGAAGAGGAAGGAAAATCTGGAAACGCGTGACAGGGACAGCGCGAGCTTCGGCGAAAGAGGGTGCGAGCGAGATGGGGTACACACCGGGACAGAAAATGGGGAGAGAAATGGCGGGACAGAGTGAGAGAGGAGGACTAGAGAAGCGGAGACTTATACGCTAACTGTAAGTGGGATATTCTGGCAGGAATATCAAAGCTGCGACTGCGTCAAAGAGGGCGACCAGAGGGGACAGGGAGAGAAAGGAGAAGGAGAGAGAGAGAGAGAGGAGACTCGGAGAGAAAGCAAAACGACCACGCGGATGGATCCTTGGACGTTACCGGCTTCGGGACCATCGTTTGACTCTTTCATTCATCATGTTCATTCCTTAGACAACCATTGTGCCCGTATAATGCATATTTTTCCCCTTCTTTCTATTTCCTCGCTGACGAGGCTCGCGGTTGTAATGTCCGCGGGAATTAGTATTGAAAATTTACGGCGTGACTAAGGGACGCGTATGAATTATTTAAAAGAGCCGATGCTTCGTTTCAACGATTCCCCATCTTTTTCATCGGCTTCCTTCT